TCAACAACTTGTGTTTTACATTCTATGACCTCTTCCAGCTCTAGCATTCTATGCCTAAAGTCTCTTTCAGATCAAACATTCTACAATCTATGTTCTAAGGTCTCTCTCAGAACCAACATTCTGTGTTCTAAGGTCCCTCTCAGTACTGACATTCTGTATTCTAAGGTCCCTCCTGGCTCTAACATTCTCGATTTTAAAGTCCTTTCCAGCTCTGACATTCTGTCTTCTAAGGTCACTCCCAGCTATGATATTCTGTGTTCTAAGGTCCCTCACAGCTCTGACATTCTATGTTCTAAGGACCTTCCCAGCTCTGACAGTCTAAATTCTAATTTTCTTTCACCTCCAAGTCCTATGATCCCATGACTGTATCTCTGTGACCTGTTTCTCCAGAGATTTTCCAGCCAGAAGATTTTATTGCCACCACAGCACTGGGGCCAAATTGCTTGTTGTTTGTGCTATCCCATAAAAATGATAATTAGATTATTCTGTATTTAAAATATTTGCCACAAAACTATTTGTAATGGGAGTCATTTGGATGCTAGCTCATGAATGTGATTTTGTATTCTGATCACTGACATTCTTAATGGTTTTTAATTTATGTTTATCCAGAACCTGGCACGGGAGGCTCTCAGAGAATACAGTGTACACTGGTGCAGGATATTCTCTCCCATCCCCCACCCCCAGCTAGATGAGGATGGGAAGGTTCCATTTCGCATCTCATATTATGGGGGTGGGGGGACTGAGGCTTAAGGAGAGGAAGAGCAATACTCAGAAGGAAGGGCACCAGGATAGTCTTGGGGGTTAAAATGGGGCCACTTGGCTCTAGACTGCTCTGGCTCATAGCCCTCAGGGGAGGCACTGCCCAGGACTGACCATTCTGGCAGGGAAGTCTTACCTCCTGATACCCCCTTTCTGGCAAAATGACAGTTTCCAGGCCTCTATGCTGGAGAGATCAGCCACGAGAGAAACGTAGCTACACATCCCCAGAAGGACATCATGTTTCTTGGCCAAGTGTCCCCATCATCACAACTGTAGCAGTAGGCATGCTTCTCACCCAGAAGAGGACTGGTAAATGTTTAACGATCAGCTCTGCACATTTTAAAAAAATGTGCCCACAATACACTTTTATGTTTAATTTGCATTTTAAAGATTTTCTTCATAATTTTCTTAAGTCTGCATAATCAATAAAACAATAAGCCAAGCCCTGACTTGCAGCCTTTGTCCATTTCGGAGGTATTGACGCTCACATTGAACATTTAACAACAGGTAAGCTGGCACTAGCCCATCCCTGTCTCACCTAGGAGCTCACCCTCCTCAAACTAGGTTTTGACCGGGGAAGAGAGAGCAGGGCGCATGAGAAACTGAAGAAATCTACATAACATGAGTGAAGTAGAAGACCACTGGTCTGGGAGTCAGGTGACCTGGGCAGCCTGGGTCAGCTGTGGGACCCTGAGAGGTCAACTAACCCCAGTTTCCTTACCTATAAAATGGAAATGAAGTAAATTGTAATCATTATAAATAATGGTATTTAGCCAGTCCAACCCAATATAATCCATTCCATTCCAAGCTAATCTAACCCATTCCGTTCTATTCTCATATCCATTTCAATCCAACCCAACCCAACCAATGGAATAGGCATTTACTAATGACTAACTAATATTATTAATATTAACAATTAATAACAGGACAGGCGCTGGAGATACAGGAAAAAATGAACTAATCCTTGCCCTCAAGGAGCTTACATCCTCCTGGATAGGATGGTGGAGGATGTAACATACAAATGAGTATATGCATGATAATTGGAGGAGGATGAGAAAGGAAAAGGAGGAGGGAGGAAGAGGAAGGAGAAAGAAGAGGAGGGGGAAGAAGGAGGAAAAGAAGAAAGGAGGCACCATCAATAACTAAGGGAAGCAGGAAGGGCTTCCCATTATAGGTGACATGAGAGTTGGTCCTTGAAGGAAGCTAAGGACTCTAAAAGATGATGGTGAATTGGGAGTTTGTTCCAAGCATGAGCAACAGGCTGGACAAAGGCATCAAAATGGGAAGTGGTATGTCAATTTCTGAGAAGAGGAGTGACATGCAATAAGCCTGGAAAGGTAGACTAGACCCAGATGGTGAAGGACTTCCAATGCCAAGCTGAGGAGTTTGCATTTTATCCTGGAAGCAATAGGCAGCCACTGAGGGTTCTTGAACTGAGGGGTGGCATGATCAGATCTGTGCTTCCAGTACATGTGAGATAATCCAGGTAAAAGTGCTTTGAAAGGTTAAACTCATGGTTCAGGTGTGGGCCATTGAGTATGCCCCAATTGATCAGTTAGGATAATGCCACTCAAGTCAATAATAAGTATTTATTGAGCACCTACTCTGTGCCAGGCACTAACTGAGGGCTCTGGAGATACAAAGAAAAGCAAAAACAGTCTCTTCTCTCAACATGCTCACCAGTGTAATCAGTAATCATTAAGAAGAGATGACTACGTAATTACAATGACTAAGTTTGGCCCTGGGCAGGGGGGGGGGAGCGTAAGGAAGGGGACACACATTTATTAAGTGCCCACTATGTGCCATTCTTATTTCATTTGATCCTTATAACCCTGTGAGGTAGCCTTCACAAAACCATCCCCATTAGATTGTAAGATCCTTGAGGACAGGGGTTGTCTTTCGCCTCTCTTTGTATCCCCACACTTAGCACAGTGCCTGGCACATAGTAGGCACTTAATAAATCTATATTAACTGACTATCACAGTTAAGGAAAGTGAGTAGCATAAAGGTTAAGTGATTTGCCCAGGGTCACATAGCTGGTAAGTCTCTGAGGCCAGATTTGGACTCAGGTTTGCCTGATTGCAGGTCCAGAGCTCTATCTACTATGCCACCTAGCTGCCCATAGAGTAGAGATGAGAAAAATCTGCCTCTTCCTCTTCTTTGCAGGTGGGAAATTGTGCCTGCAGAACATTCTAGATGTCATCAGACTCAGTTGTGTCCATTTTTGCTGAATTGATTTGTTTTTCTTCTTCCTTCTTAAATCTTTCTTACAAAAGATGCCTTGCTGCGTAAGGGGGTTGTAGATGGGTATACTCAGAAATGAATGTGATATAACAACCCAAAAAATCAATAACTTTTTTTTAAAGAAAAGGGGGAGAAAAATTGAAGGAAGGTTAGAAGGAGGCACTGTGGAGAAAATGAAACATTTCTGTATCACTTTAAGCTTTACAAAATGGAGTCCTAATAAGAGCCCAGTGATGTAGGTAGTAGAAGTATTATTATAACCATTTTTTGGATGGAAAAAACAAGGCTCAGAGAGATAAAATGATTTGTCCAATTTCGTGTGCCAAATAAGTACCAGAACCAGGATTTGAACCTAGGTCTTCTGATGTATCATCTCCCAGAGTTTCCATTCTGGCAGGCTGCTCTCAAATGATGGAGATCTAGAAAGACCTACCAAAGAGCTAGAGCCCACTCTCCTCCCAATCCCAAGCCTCAGGCTTTAGAACCCAAGCAGCATCACATGATGGATGTGTGTTCCTTGGCATTTGGTCAGCTTTGTTTGTCTAAGGTGGAGGAAAGGAAACCTGGGGACACCCTGCACATTTGGAAAGGCACACCTCACATTTAGAGTTTGGAACACAAAGAAAGCAGAAGTTTATCTGATAACTGCCAACACCCCTTTAATCATCCATGCTCTGGTCTCCTGAGCCAAGGACACTATAATATCCTCCTACTGCTTGCAGGTACCTAATGATTTAAACCTAAACACCCTCCAGGTAGGGCAATCCCAGAATCATAGCCTTGGAGAGAGAAGGAAGGTCAGGGGCTGAGCAACCACTAGGGGATGTGGCAATTGGGCCTCAGTTCAGTTGAGCAGGGGTGGGTACGGCTAAGATGAGAAAATCCACTGGGCTCTCCTTTTTTTCTGACTGTGATCTGGAATTGCAGACTGCCTAGGCAAAAACTCCCTCCTCCTGGTACCATTTTACAATCCTGTATTCCCACCTACCTCAGCCCTTTGCCTCCCAAGTCCCTATCCTGCTCTGACCTCCCCTTCCATTGTGCTCTCTGGAATGCCTAACCTATCATTAACAAAATAGCTATAGGGGCAGCTAGGTGGCGCAGTGGATTAGAGCACCAGCCCTGAAGTCAGGAGGACCTGAGTTCAAATCCGGCCTCAGATCAAACACTTGACACTTACTAGCTGTGTGACCCTGGGCAAGTCACTTAACCCCAATTGCCTAAAAGCAAAATAAATAAATAAATAAATGAATGAGTAAATGAATGAATGAATGAATGAATGAATGAATGAATAAAAAAAATAGCTATAATCATGAAATCAGAGCCATTGGGAAAATTCCATAGACATTTCTGGCAAGAAAGAAATTCAACAGATGAATCAGAAATTTTAGAATTGGATGAGAGAGATGATCAAATACAATACCCTCATTTTACAAAGGAGGAAAACTGAGGCACAAAGAGTCTAGCTTATAGGTAGCTGAGGCAAGATTTGAATTCAAGCTTTCTTTGCTGCAAGCCCAGTACTCTAACTTTACCACGTCACAGCATCTTAGTGAGTAGAATCTATAGAGAGGCAGATTTCAGCTAAATGTAAAGATAAACTTTCCGGATACTTAGAACGATTAAAAGGTAGAATGAGCTGTCTTGGGAGGTAATAAGGTCTCTGTAATTAAATATTTTCAAACTGAGGCTGGATAATCATTTTTTCTGGGATGTTGTAGAGAGAATTCCTGTTCAGATAAGTAGAAAGTGGTAATCAGTAAGTGGGTGGTGAAAAAAATGCTGAATCGGGGGGTCAATGGACCTGGATTTGAAGCTCAGCTCTACTATTTGCTAATTTTGAAGCCCTGGGTAAGTTATTTAAACTCTCTGAGAGTCAGTTTCTTCATCTGTAAAATGACAGGTTTAGCCCCAAGCAGACATAAGAGTGTACCTCCCTTTCTTCCTTGCTGAGGTGATGGGTGTAGAACATGGCATACAATGACATATTGGATGGATGTATTGGTTAGGTCTGCTAAATTATTTCTTTGTCTTCTCTACTTCTTTATTCATAAGCAATGGCTGTCTGGGAGGTAGAAGGGAAGGGATATATTCGGAAATGTAGGTGAGGTAAAAATAAAAGATGATAAAAGTTTTTCAAGAGAAAAGAAAAAATAAGATGGGGGAGGAATTGGATGACCTCCAAAGTCTCTCCGGGCACTGACTCTTCAGATCTTAATAGCATGAAATGTTTTCTCAATCATTTCTTCACCCCTTCCCCCCTTGCCTTGACCTGTAAAGAACCTTCAGGAGTGAAGTATTAGGGTGGAGGCAGAAGGAAGGATAGGGCATTTACCTTCCAGGAGCGTCACAGACAGCTGGGCCTTCTGGTGGTCATAGCCCAGGGAGTAGTGGAGTTTTGGGGCCTGGTTCCAGCTGGCAGCCTTCTCTGGATTCCACGTCTCAATCACACAGACATCTTCCACCACACCTGGCAGGGAGAAGCACAGGAGTCATGTCCACTCCCCAGGGGATCCCATCTCTCCCCTGCTTCATCTTTCCCCTATGTTCCCACTTAATGCTTTGCCAGCAAAACCAGCCTAAAAACCATGTATCCAGTGCCATGCCTAGCCCCTGGTACAGAGTAGGCATCTAGGAAATATTTGTTCATCAATTGAGAGGTCAGTATAATGCCACTCACCAGCTGTGCACCTTCAGGCAAGTTACTTTCCCTCTCTGGGCCTATTTTCTCACTTAAAAATGAGGGAGTTTGACTAAATGGCCTCCAAAACCCTGACAGCTGTAACCAGTTAAATGCCCTGTGTTGTCTCAGCTCACACATCCTAAACTCTATGTTCTAAGTTTTTTTTCCAGCTTTGTCATTCTAGGTTCTAGGTTCCAAAGACCCTTCCTGCTAGGACATTCTATGTCCCATGTTCCTAGCTCTGACATCCTATGTCATACCGATCTAAGGTCCCTTCCTGGAGTTCTTTGTTGCATGTTCCAAGTGTCCTTTTAGCCTTGGCATTTTATTTTCTGTGCACTTTTTAATACCATAGAAGGCTAAGGGTGTGAGGACCTGAGTGTTACTAGAATCTCTAAAGGTGTGACAGTCACCAGCAGGAAGCCAGGGTCATCTGAGTGACAAAGTGCCCTGGAAAGCATGACACCCTCCAGCAGCTAGCTTTCTGACAGCTCCAGACTCCAGTTGATTGTGATCTAGTGACAGCCTTTCCCTGCTGGGGGCAGGTGGGGAATTTGGGCAGCGGGCCAGCTTGCTGGTTGTACAAATGCCAGACACCAGAAAGACCTTCAAGAGAGTCTTACTCAGGAATACAAAGGCACTACTCTCAGACAGGTTTCCAAACTGGGAGGCACAGTAGTGTGAACTCAGTGAGGGCATAACTCCTTGTCGCTATTGTTTTCAGTCCTGTCTGACTCTCTGTGACCCCATTTGGGGTTTTCTTGACAGAGATACTGGAATGGTTTGCCATTTCCCGCTCCAGCTCATTTTACAGATGAGGAAACTGAGGCAAATAGGGTGACGTGACTTACCCAGGGTCACACAGCTAGTAAGTGTCTGAGGCTGGAATTGAACTCAGGAAGATGAGTCTTCCTGACTCTAGGCCCAGCTCTCTGTCTACTACACTTCCACCACCCCCATGAAATGGGTGTGATACACCAAGCTCCTAAAGGAACCCCAAGGCTGGAATCATTCAAATGGTTCTGGATTTGGGGTCAGAGGACTTGGGTTTGACTCTCAGCTCTGTACAACCATGGGCAAGTCACTTTCCTTCTATGGAGCCTCAGTTTTCTTATATGTATAATTAAATGGCTGGACTAGGTGATCTTTAAGATGCCATTCCAGAATGAAACCCTGTGGTCCAGGCAAGTTTCCCTGAAGGACAGGTAGTGGGTTTTCCATGCAGACCATGGAAACATAATAGGCGACATTTCAGGAATCTTGGGCTCACTTTTGCAGATTCTCCCACCCATTTCATTTCAGCCTCCTAACACCTGTGTGCCAGTAGGTAGCCTTCATAATCCCATCTTCATTAGACAGCTGAAGAAACCAAGCCCCACTAAAGCTAAGTCAGCTGGGTTCCCAGAGCAGCAGTGCAAAGCCAGGTTTTCCTAACTCCACAGGATCATAGACTGAGAGCAGGCAGGAGCCTCGGCTCTCTTGTCCAGCTCCTTTCATTTTACAGACGGTAAACTGACTATAATGCTAAGACCTTCCCTCTATTGGTTAGCTCCAATTTACCATGCGGCTAGGGGGTCCCCACAGCCTTCATGTGGTTTTAAGCTATTAAAGCTGAAAGCTTATTAAGGTATGAACACATAAAACCACACGAAGACTTTGGGGACCCCTGGCCAAAGCTGCCTCACACACAGTTGTTCCAAGGTTGTTGCCTTCATTGGAGTGTGAGCTCCTTGGGGGAGGGGACTGCTTCTTGCCTTTCTTTGCGACCCCATCACTTAGCACAGGGCCTGATTCACAGGTACCTAGTAAGCATCAGCACTGAGACTAGAACCCCCATCTTCTGCCGCCAGAAACAATGCCCTGTCCATGGTACTTCCCTCTCAGGTTCTCCCTACTGCCCCATTTCCCCCCTCATTGTCTCTCTCACAGAGGAGGTTGGGCATCACTGCAAAGGGTAAGAGCAGGTGGGCTCAGAAAGGAGAGCAAGGTATTTAAGGAGGTTTGTTGCTGCTATGTTAGAACTTGAGAGAACCTCAGAAACCATCTATCTCTGGTGCCCTTCAAAATTGAAAATGGGCTATTGGGAATGACAAGCTCTAATACTATTACTGGGGCAGTTAGGAGGCGCCATAGTGAACAGACTGCCGGACCTGGAGTCAGGAAAACTATCTTCCTTAGTTCAAATCTGGCCTCAGACACTTACTAGCTACATGACCCTGGGCAAGTCACTTCACTCTATTTGCCTCAGTTTCCTCATCTGCAAAATGAGCTAAAGAAGGAAATGGCAAACCACTCTAGGATCTTTGCCAAGAAAACCCCAAAAAGGGTCTTGAAGAATTGGATACCACTGAAACAACTTAGCAATGACAATACTATTACTGGGGGCCCACTTTTAACAGCTCCTAATTAAAGCCAATTACCCAGCTTCGTGACCTTGGGTAACTCCCTGACCATTTGTAAAATGAGGCTGCAGATGGCCTGTAAAGTCCAATTCAGTTCTAAAACTGTGCTCCTGTGAAAGTCCTAAGGTTTTAAGTGGAGCTTCTTTTATTAGGCTTCCTGGTACCAATTTCCCAAGGCAGGAGACTGTCTAGGATTTCAAGTGCCAAGGGTTTTTGTTTTGTTTTGTTTGGGGGGTGGGGGTAACCATTCTAATGGTATTAGGAAAGGACCACAGCAGCCAGTTGCTTTTTACTTCCCTCCCTGCCATCCCCCTAAAAAGCAAAGCCAGTCCTAACTGCCTCAATTAAATTCAACAAGCATTTATTAAACACCTATTATGGTCAAGCCCCAGTACTGGGTGCTGGTGATAAAAAATTGTGAACAAGGTACAGTACCTTCCCTCAAGAGGCTTCCAATCTAGTAGGGAAGGTGAATAAACAAAAGGCAATTAAATGTATTAGGGTGTACAATGGCATTTAAAGTCCTTCAGTCTGGCTCTATTCTGTCTTTACAGACCGATTTCTCAGTCACTGGCCCTCCTGCAAATGCTACTTTCCTGACAACTCAGCCCAGGGACTGTTTCCTTCCTCTCATCTCTTCCTTGGTGCCTCCTAGTTCCACGATGCAGACCTTCTCGTCTAAGGAGAAGCCAATGAGCTTCTGCGATGGACCTGCTCTGGTCGGGCATTGTGCTAAGCTCTTGGGTTACAAAAATGGGCAAAAGGCAGTCTCCACTCTTGAGGGGCCCCTAGCTTAATGAAAGCGGACATGCACCAGCAAGGTGTGTACAGGACTAACCAGAGGCAGTCGAGAAACGGAAGGCACCAGCATGAAGGGGGATTGGGAAAGGCATCTAGCAGCAGGAAGGATTTCAGACGGGGCTCGGCAAAAGCCAGGAGGCAGAGGTGAGATGAGAGAGGGGCCTCACAATCTCCTAGATTCAGCTCTGCATTAGAGCTTCCCTTTCCTTTCCTTGTCTTTGCATCTGTCCGTTGGCTCATAGTGGGTATATAATGGGCAACTTCACTTGTCAAATTGGACTGAATTGACTGTGAGCAGGATGTGGGGGAGGTCGAATATAAAAGCAGGAGAGATTTGAAAAGGAAACATCACCTATACCTGGGGGGGGGGGGGAAGGGAAGGAGTCAAATGCAACTTCTTGGGGGAGTTGACACCTGAGCTGGACCTTGATGGAAAGAAATAATTTCAACAAGTTGAAAAGGAAGGAATTCTTTGGAGATGGGGGAGGGGAGGGAAGTGAGTATACAAATGGATGGAAGCAGAGAATGGGCAGGATTACTGACTCAGGTTGGCCATGTGCCCTTCCCTCCTCCTCCCCCATTTAATAAACTCCTGTGTCTCATTATTTCTTATTTTTACCGTTACTGTCTTGCTCACAAAGAGTTGTTTGCACATTGTCATTCCTATTAGACTGGGAGCTCCTGTGGACTATGTTTGCCTTTCTTGGTGTGCCCACTGAGGCAGCTTAAATGTGACCTCAGAATAACACTAACTAAATGTGTGACCCTGGGCAAGTCATTTAACTCTGTTTGCCTCAGTTTCTTCAAATGTAAAATGAGCTGGCGAAGGAAATGGCAAACCACTCCAGTATCTCTGCCAAGAAAACTCCAAATGAGGTCATGAAGAGTCAGACATGACTGAATAACAACAGCAACAATGCAACCCCATTGCTTAGCACAGTGCCTGACACACAGTAGGAGTTTAATAAATGCTTGTTGACTCGACTTGAACATGGAATGTGTCAATAGGAATGCTTTCAAATAAGGCTAGGAAGGTAGGATTGTGGTAGGCCTTGAATGCCAGACTAAAGAATTTTTATATTAGCTTGGGGATAATGGGAGAGGGCACTGAGGTGCAGGAAAGTACCATGATTCAACTCAATTCTGCTTAATATGTATGCATTCAAGGTGAAAGGCAGTAGAGCAAAGGTTCTCAACTTTTCATGTGTCCTGTATGTCTTTTACACTTTGGTGAAGCCTATGGACCCCTGCTCAGAATCATGCAATTTTTTTAAAAAGATCATAATGAAAGAAAATACTAAATTTTAGTCATTGATTAGTAAAATCAACAATGAATTTCCCACCATGTGCATAGATTCCCCCTCCCCAGGGGTTCATGGGACCCAGGTTAAGAATCCTTGGAGTAGACAAAGACTTGGCTTCAGTCCAAAAGGCCTGGATTTAAGTCCAGTTATGACACATTCTGCTTGTGTGACCCTGGGAAAGTCAATTAACTTCTCAATGCCACAGGCAATCTTTTAGAACTAGAAATGCCTGAGCAGGGACTGATCTGCTTTACTAGAGGAAGTATATTTTTAGATCAAGTCTGCTCATAGGAGGGATCCCTACCCTGTGAAGTCATTGTACTAAGTGCAGAAGACACACATACAAAGGGGAAAGCCATCTCTACCCTGAAGGACCTTCTATTTTACATGAGTTACCTAATAGGGAAAATGACTTTAGTGGTTGTGTGATGGGCTGGAGACCAGGAGCTTAACGAATGTGGTTAAACACTATGTCTATTAGTCTTCTTGTGTTCCTCCAAGTGCCTACCATGAGGTTCAACCCCGATATAACTGACTTCAGTGGGACTCAGATTTTCCATTTCCCAGTAAGGCAATGGGAAACCTGGAGAGAGAAGGATGGGCAGCTTGTTACTGGACTGGGATCTCAATGGGACCTTGAAACTTAGACCAGACGGCTTTTCTGTCTGAGAATCCCACTGTCCCATCCCAGCCAGGGACATTTTTTACTCCATTGGTCCCTGTGAATGTCCCAGTCTGCCACAGGCAGACAATTTGGTGAGGCCAATGACCAACAGAGTGGGTGCCCTGGTGGAGGAGGAGGTGCTGGGAGAGAGAAAGCCTACCATTCTGAGGGAGGATGAAGAGCTCCTCGGTAACCTGTCTTTTGAGGCGACTGTCATTCAGGGCCTGTGTGCTGGCAGGGACTGGCTCCTCCTCCGTGGTCCTCAAGGTGTAATCGGCGTAGTTGATGACCTCTGGGGCAGTCACTGCTGGCTTAGGTCCATAGATGTCTGGGAACTTCAGGAGGGCTCTGGGCTGGACAGGCTCCGTGGATTTTTTAATATTGAACTGAAACACAAGTTGCTTTGATTGGTTACTACTTCCTTCACCATCACCCCCATGCTGCTTCTCATTAGATTATGAGATCCCTGAGGTCAAGGACTCTATCGTACCTCTTTTTCTATCCCTAGGGCTTAACACAGTGCCTGACACATAGTAGGTGCTCAATAAGTGTTTATTGATTGATCCCAAGCACTAAAGAAAAATTGACTTCTAAGGATAGCACTGGATCTCAGGATCATAGGACTTTAGAAACAGAGGGGATCTTAGAGACCACATTCCAAAACCCTCCCCAGAGGTGAAGTGACTCTCCCAAGGTCATATAATGATTAAGTGGCAGAACCAGAACTAGAATCCAGGTCTCCTGACTCCAAATCCACTTTCCCCCATACCAAAATGGCCCTACCCCAAACCACAACTAATATGGACAAACAGCTGAGTGTGGAGGTATGTCTCTTTCTACCACCGTTTTCCCCCCAGAGCAGAGTCATGTCTGTGCTACTTGGGTCTCTGGTGAATTGCCTAAAGTCATACTGTAAATAAACCGAACTCCAATATCTCCCCCAGTCCAGTGCTCCATGGGGTCTAAGACAGTGAAGAAAACAGATAATCTCTGAACCCTGCATAGATATGATAGAAACTCAGAGCTGCTGAGAGATTAGGAATCCATTCTAAGGGCGTCCTCCTTACAGCACCCTGAAAAGTAGTCAACTACCCTCTGCTTGATGATGCCCAGCCCACTGTTGGCCCAGAGAGGGTGTTAATATGGCTTGAATTGGATTGAGAGGGAACTAACTACATTCTTTGGTGGTCCATTCCACTTCTGGACAGAATGAAGGTTTTTCATATGTGGGATTGAAATCTGACTCCCTGTAACTTTTACTCATTATTCCTAGTTCTGTCCTCAGAAGTCTAATCTGTCATCCACATTAACAGCCCTTCAAAGAATTGAAGACAGTATGCCTCCCCCCAAGTCTTCTCTCCAGGGCTCAACATCTCTGGTCCTTCAATCTATGCTCTTATCGTATTAGATTGTAAGCTCCTTGAGGACACAGACTGGCTTTTCCCTCTTTTGTGTTTCCAGCACTCAGCATAATGCCTAGCACATAATAGGTGTTTAATAAATGTTTAGTGATTGACATGGCTTCTAGTCCCTTCACCATTCAGCTCACCCTCTTGTGAATACTCTACAGTAGTCAACATCCTTCCTAAAATAAGGGCCCCAGAACAGTACATGGTACGATCAGGATGTCAAGGAGGAGAGGACTTCAATATCCCTGTTTACTTAAAATGGGGATTCACTTTTTAAGGAGAAGACAACTAGCTATCCACAGGACTTCTCAGAAAGTAAAATCTTAGGGTTGCTCAGAGACAAGGGGCAAAGAGACACTCTTAGACAGTTCCCATTGCCAAGAAGATCTTCCTCACATCAACCCCAAATTTGCTTCTTTGCCGTTCCCATCCATCATTGTCAGTTCTCATCTCTGGGGCCAAGTAGAACAAATCTAATCCCTCTTCCACTGGACAGGCCCTTCCATGTGTGACGGTTGCGATTACATCCCCCTGTGTTTAATCATCTTTAGAAAACTGTCAAGTGGAAAGATGCCCGGACAAAGCCAAAGGACTCAAGTTTGAACTATAACTCTGCTAATCACCACTTATTGGACCCTGGGGGAAATTACTTAATCTCTCTGAACCTCAGTTTCCCCACATGTTTTAAATATATTTCAAAAATTTCATTATTTCTGAACTAGACAAATACCAATAAACATGAACATTTTCATATACAAAGAATGAAAGAAAGTATTGTAACTATTAATGTCATCACATATAGCTTGGTTTTTTAAGTACATACTAAATTTTAGTGTGTTAGTTCCAAAAGCTATTCCATTTGTTTCTGTATCTCTCTGGCTTTCATTCCATTCTCTTTCATGCATGTTTAAAAATGCTTTGCTGATACAAAGCAAGAGCAAAAATAGATCTAATCAAAAGAGATAAGGAAGGAGACTACATCATTCTAAAAGGCACCATAGACAATGAAGTAATATCATTACTAAACTTATATACACCAGATGGTATAGCATCCAGATTCTTAGAGGAGAAGTTCAGGGAGTTACAGGAAGAAATAGACAGCAAAACTATACTAGTGGGGGACCTCAACCTCCCTCTCTCTGTTCTAGATAAATCTAACCATAAAATAAACAAGAAAGAAGTTAAAGAGGTGAATAGAACATTAGAAAAGTTAGGTATGATAGACCTCTGGAGAAAAATGAATGGGAATAGAAAGGAATATACTTTTTTCTCAGTACATGGCACATACACAAAAATTAACCATGTACTAGGCATAAAAACCTCATAATCTAATGCAGAAAGGCAGAAATATTAAATGCATCCTTTTCAGATCATGGTGCAATAAAAATCATATGTAATAAAGGGCCATGGAAAGATAGACTAAAAAATAATTGGAAACTAAATAATCTAATCCTAAAAAATGATTGGGTCAAACAACAAATCATAGAAACAATCAATAATTTCATTCAAGAGAATGACAATAATGAGACAACATACCAAAACCTATGGGATGCAGTGAAAGCAGTTCTTAGGGGAAGTTTTATATCTCTAAATGCTTACATAAATAAAATAGAAAAAGAGGAGATTAATGAATTGGGCATACAACAAAAAAACTAGAAAAAGAACAAATTAAAAATCCTCAACTAAACACCAAATTAGAAATATTGAAAACCAAAGGAAAAATTAAAAAATTGAAATTAAGAAAACTATTGAACTAATAAATAAAACTAAGAGCTGGTTTTATGAAAAAAACCAATAAAATAGATAAACCTTTGGTTAATTTAATTAAAAAAAGAAAGAAGAAAACCAAATTACTAGTATCAAGAATGAAAAGGGCAAAGCTACCACCAAGGAAGAGGAAATTAAAACAATAATTAGGAATTATTTTGCCCAACTATATGCCAACAAATTTGACAATCTTAGTGAAATGGATACATATTTACAAAAATATAAATTGCCCAGATTAACAGAAGAGGAAGTAAAATACTTAAATAACCCCATCTCAGAAAAAGAAATTGAACAAGCCATTGATGAACTCCCTAGGAAAAAATCTCCAGGGCCAGATGGATTTACATGTGAATTCTATCAAACATTTAAAGAACAATTAATTCCAATACTATATAGACTATTTGGGAAAATAGGTGAAGAAGGAGTCTTATCAAATTCTTTTTATGATACAAATATGGTGCTGATACCTAAACCAGGAAGAGTCAAAATAGAGAAAGAAAATTATAGACCAATTTCTCTAATGAATATAGATGCAAAAATTTTAAACAAAATACTAGCAATAGATACAGCAACTTATCACAAGAATAATACACTATGACCAGGTAGGATTTATACCAGGAATGCAGGGTTGGTTCAATATTAGGAAAACTATCAGCATCATTGAGCATATCAACACAAAACCAACAGAAACCACATGATCATCTCAATAGATGCAGAAAAAGCTTTTGATAAAATACAATACCCATTCCTATTAAAAACACTAGAAAGCATAGGTATAAATGGAGTCTTCCTTAAAACAATAAATAGCATCTAGCATTATATGTAATGGGGACAGGCTAGAAGCATTTCCAATAAGATCGGGGGTGAAACAAGGATGTCCATTATCACCACTGTTATTCAATATTGTACTGGAAACTTAGCTTTAGCAATAAGAGAAGAAAAAGAAATTGAAGGCATTAGAATAGGCAAAGAAGAAACAAAGCTATCACTCTTTGCAGATTACATGATGATATACTTAGAGAATCCTAGAGAATCAAGTAAAAAACTACTTGAAATAATAAACAACTTTAGCAAAGTTGCAAGCTATAAAATAAACCCACATAAATCATCAGCATTTCTATATATTACCAATAAAGCCCAACAGCAAGAGATAGAAAGAGAAATCCCATTTAAACTTACTATAGACATTATAAAATATTTAGGAATCTACCTCCCGAAACAAACCCAGGAACTCTATGAACACAATTACAAAACACTTTTCACACAAATAAATTCAGATCTAAATAATTGGAAAAACATCAGTTGCTCATGGGTAGGCCGAGCTAATATAATAAAAATGACAATCCTACCTAAGCTCATTTACTTATTCAGTGCCATACCAATCAAACTACCAAAAAATTATTTTATAGAGTTAGAAAAAATAATAACAAGATTCATTTGGAAAAACAAAAGGTCCAGAATATCAAAGGAACTAATGAAAAGAAATGCAGGGGAAGGTGGCCTAGCAATTCCAGATCTTAAATTGTATTATAAAGCAGCAATCATCAAAACTGCTTGGTACTGGCTAAGAAATAGGGAGGTGGATCAGTGGAATAGGTTAAATATGCAAGACACAGTAGTCAATGACTATAGTAATCTATTATTTGATAAACCCAAAGACCCCAGCTTCTGGGATAAGAACCCACTCTTTGAAAAAAACTGCTGGGAAAACTGGAAAAGAGTATGGCAGAAACTAGGCATAGACCCAAATCTCACCATATACCAAAATAAAGTCAAAATGGGTTCATGACTTAGATATAAAGGCTGATACATAAGTAAACTGGAGAACAAGGAATAGTTTACCTATCAGATCTATGGAGAACAGAAGAATTCATGACCAAACAGGAGATAGAGAACATTAAAAAGCAAAAGATAATTTTGATTACATTAAATTGAAAAGTTTTTGCAAACAAAGCCAATGCAACTAAGATTAGAAGGAAGGTAGAAAATTGGGAAAGAATTTTTACAACCAGTCTCTCTGATAAAGGCCTCATTTCTAAAATATATAGAGAATTAAGACAAATTTATAAGAACACCCCAATTGATAAATGGTCAAAGGATATGAACAGACAGTTCTCAGATGAAGAAATTAGAGCCATCTATACTCATATGAAAAAATGCTCGAAATCATTATTGATTAGAGAAATGCAAATCAAAACAACTCTGAGGTA